TGTTAAGATGTAAAATTTGCTATCTTTGCACTATACGTATGTTGGATGATGAACGAATAACACTAATCAATGAAAAACTTGCCGAAAAAGGAAAAATGAATACATCAAAGATTTATATGTACGTATTTACCAAGTATAAATTTTTAATAGACAGATTTGCTAATTTTGCGAAATTTATTAGCTGATTTTGGCTAGCATTTTTGTTTTTAATGACCGGTGGCCCTGGTCATATATAATTTACTATGGTCCATAACGTGATTTTCAAGACAAAAGTTTAAGCGCGATTGCGTCACACAGCTACCCTAATATTTTAATATCAAAAACAATAAATCTTATAGAACAGGGTGAAACCCGTGTTGCTAGCTAGTAAAATCTGCTACGTAGATCAGGTTAGGGTGAAATCAGCGGTTTTTTATGTTTTTATTATATAAAAGCGGATTTCACCTCACGTGATGATCATAGCGGATTTTACTAGCTAGCAATGCCTGTCGTAATCTTATTATTTATGAACATGTGACTATCAGAAAAATTGAGGGTGAATTTTAAACGATTTAAGAGATAATGAAATTTATAGGAGCAAAAGTCTTTATCATGAAATCTCGATAACTTTAAACTATAATCTTGTCGCGAACAAAATTCGACAAACCAAAAATTTATTAAAAAAATAGTTCTAACATATTTCAAATCAAAAACGAACCAAAAAAAACCCCCAAAATCGAAAAATGCAAGGAATGAATGTTTGAACCTATTTTAGAACACTAATGACTAATAAAAAATAATCAAAAACAACTTTTAGTGTTTGCTCCAATATCAAACTGAACTTTAATTTTATTTAATAATCAGTATACAGTTACAATACCACTACTTCGTTTTAACTCTTTTCACGAAATCAATAAACCTTATGACTCTCAATTTCATATTCTTAGCCTATATTGCGAAGAATAAGTTTTCGAAAAATACGTAAAAAACAGCTTAAATTGCCGAGTTTAATTGATTTATTGTACCTCTAAGTTAAACGTTCAAACATACCTCTCATCTAATTTCCGAATTACTTCTCAGATTACCAAATTACTTTGACAGATTATTATACGAACTTTCTAGTTTTTTTTTTGTCTTACCCCCTAGGAATTCATATTCGCGGCTCGGAATTTAATCTTATGACAGAAAATCGGTACTTAATAAGACTTCATTATGATAAGATGAACTTCAAAAATCAGCCAATCATAATAAAGCCCGCTATGCTGGTGTAAGCCCTTGACCGATAAAACCTGGAACAACGTAGGTAAGATTCTGAAAATCTTAAATCTTTGCCCACCACCGGTTTAAACTTTTGATCCGATAAAGTCTCTGGAGAAACATAAGGTAAGATACTAGAAGTTTCAGTCTTTGTCTGGTTGATGTCACTGTTATAACTCTTGTTCTGATAAAACCCTGGAGTGACATAAGGTAAGATCTTGAAAATCTTAAATCTTCGTCTGATTGACATTTCTGACATAATGATTCCAAAGCCATAAATATTGGCAACTTGTGTAAACATTTGACCCGATAAAACCTCTGGATTAAAATACTAAAAATCTTAAGTCTTTGTTCAGTTGACGTTTCTAACATAATAACTCCAAATCAATAAACATAGGCGGCTGATATAAATTTTTGACCCTATAAAACCTCTGAAACGACGTAAGATCCTGAAATCTTAAATTTTTGTTCGGTCGATATCTTCGACATAATAACATCAAAGTCATGAATATCGACAGCTGATGTAAACTTTTGATCCAATAAAGCTTCTGGAGTGATATAAGATAAAGACACTGAAAATCTTGTCTTAAGTCTTTGCCCAGTTGACGTCTCTGACCTATTAACTCCAAAGCAATAACATAGGCAGCTGATGTAAATTTTTGACCCGATAAAGCCTGTGGAACGACATAAGGTAAGATCCCGAAATCTTAAATTTTTGTTTAGTTGGCGTTTTTGACATAATAATTCCAAAGCTATGGATATCGATAGCTAATGTAAACTTGATAAGGCCTCTGGTCTTAAGTCTTTGCCTCAGACGTAAAACTCCGAAGCTATAAACATAGGCAGCTGATGTAAATTTTTGACTCGATAGGCCTCCGAATTTAGATACTAAAAACTTTAAGTCTTTGACATAATAACCCCAAAGCTCTAAATATCGACATAATTTTAATCCAGCAAAACCTCTGGAGTGACATAAAGTAAGAGCCTGAAAATCTAGTCTTAAAAGTCTTTAGATGACATCTCTAACATAGTAACTTCAAAGCCATAAATAGTGGTAGCTGGTATAATAAACTTTTGACCAATAAAGCTTCTGGGACGACATAGGTAAGATCCTGTCTTAAACGACCTTTATTATTATAATCGACATATTGAAGCACCATGCGTTCGAAGAGTTAATTCTACAATGCTAAACATCGAATGAGCAAAGTATCAAAAAACCATGTAACGCTGTTACATATAGATCTATTCATAATTATAAGATCTATCAAAAATGTAATCACAGATCTATCAAAAGCTGTAACCACAGATCTATCAAAAGCTAATACACAAGCATAGTGGACTTTCTTATTTTTCGAAAAAACTCATATGATAGTTGACCAATCAAAAACCGTCTTTATCAACACATGATCAAAACAGATAGACAATCTTTGAACTAAGCAGCCGTTCATAGTTTGACTTCGAAGTAAAGTAAAGAAATCAGACTATTCATTCACATTATAATAGCAATTTTACAATTGTAAAAACTCATACAAAAGATTTTAATACAAGTTACACGTTCTTCAATAGTTTCCTTAAAATCTCGCGTAATTAATGAAACT